TTTTATTTATGGTTTCTGTATTTACGTCTTGCTTTAGAAAGCATCTCATTCCAGATTTATAAACATATTCTACTTTTTCGATATTTTTTATCATGTGTATGAATGTGTGTGCTTGTATGTGTGTATTACACGTAGCTATTGATTAGCTGGAAACCATGGGCAAGTTTCCTAACATTGCTACACCTTGGTTTTCTCATCTGTAAAGTAGGGACAATACCTATTTTGTTTTGTTATTGACATGATTGAAGACATGACAAGATAATATTTAAAGGCCATTAAAAGCTTGACCCATTTGGAAGTTATTCTGGAGAGGGTAACCATTGTTATTATATATTATATTATTACCTATCTATTATTGTATTTGATATTTTATCCTAACTCTCTGTGTATTTGCCTTTTTCACTAAGGCTTTTCATTGATAGGAAATGTGGCTTCCCTCATTGCCTAACCAAGTGCCTGGCATTTAGCAAGTGTTCAAATGTTTGCTGAATGAGTAAATCGGTTGATTGAATGGATGAATAGCACATGATAAAACCAAGTAGTAAAGGGAGAAAGAAGGAGTAATTTTATCAAGCAGTTCTGATACGAAACTAAACACAAAACTGAGGTCCAACTTAGGGGAGAAGGAACCTTATTGAATATTTAGGGGCTCTTGTTTAAGGATGGGCTCAGAGTTCTATGGTTCCACTGATTGAAACTGCATAAAAACTTTCAGGTGGGGGCCAGCCCAGTGGCCCAGCAGGTAAGTTCGCTTATTCTGCTTTGGCAGCCTGGGGTTCACCAGTTTGGATCCTGGGTGCGGACATGGCACTGCTTATCAAGCCATGCTGTGGTGGGCATCCCACATATGGAATGGAGGGGGATGGGCACAGACATTAGCTCAGGGCTAATCTTCTAAAAAAAAAAAAAAAAGTTCAGATGAAAGTGCACTTTTCCAGGTAGAAGGTCCATAGGCAGATTGTAGTTCCAGGAGGCCGGGGATGCTGAATACTTTGTCCACCTTTGTATTCCCATCCTGCAGAATAGAGCCTGGCAGTTCATAGATGTTTATTGAATAATATCTGACTGATTGAATGAAAAATCTTCATCAGATTATCAACAGGGTCTGTAACCCCCCAAAAGTTGTAAGACTCAATAATATAGAATGAAAAAATCCAACAGATCCCTGAGAGAAGCTTTTATCTGGGCCAGAGCTTAGAGAGGAATTTATCAGACGAATTTAAGAGAGTGATTAAGGAGCCCCTTCCTCAATTCCTTTCAAGGGACTGGGTGACTGCCTTCTCAGTTGGCTTTCTGATTCTCACATGATAAATACAATACAATGATAAGTTGTAGTCAAGCTTGAATCATAAGCCAGCTTCTGCCACCTACCATCTGTGTGACCTTGGTTAAGTTATTTAAGCTGTCTAGGACCAGGATTCCACAGTAATTTCCACCTTGAGGGCCTGATGAGTAGATTAAGTTAGGCTGTTGGTATAATGCGGGAGCATTACAGTGCGCAACTAATTTTGTGTTCTCTCCTGCTCCCCCCGCCAACCACTTTTTTTCTATGTAAGACATTTGTTCACAACCATTTTCCCCTGATTCTCAGTCCTTGAGGCAGTTCCTTGCTCTAATCAGTTTGCCTCTACTGGTCCATTAGAATTGCTTGGTTTGTGTATATAAGTAAATATCAATTATGGTCATTTAAAGGACTGCTGTCCAAATATGCCTAATTACCCTGCGGCACAAGAATAGTGGGGGGAAATTCTCATTTGTTGACTTCCTATTGTGTACCAGCACTATACTGGGAACTTTCATGCCTTATCTTACCCTACAAATTACACTTGTCATTAAGTAGAAGCATTGGCAAAGTTTTTGCTATATCGACATTAATTTAGTACCTGGACCATAGAAAGCACTAAAAAACAATTGTTGACTGAATAAACTTTCTTTTACTTTTGTCCTAAATTTCACAAACATTCAAATACGGGCAGATGTGTTCCCAACCTCAAAACGAGACAAAGCTGTTTTTAATAAATTAATCAACAAATATTTATGGAGTGAATACTACGTGCTCAAATATGAAAAGACCTGGGGCTTGTGAGAACATACTACTCCAGGAGCTGAGGAGCTGACTGGAGAGACCGGCCCAAGACTAGAGGAAAGTTATCTAGTTGGGCAAGACTGGGGCTGGGTGTGACTGAGCGCGAATAGGCAGAGACCTTTCTGGGTTTTCAGGAGAGAGCTCTTGGCAGGACTGAAGAAGGAAAATTCAGTGGGAAAGGACTGGGTTCGGTGATGGGACACTTGGACTCCAGTTCTGGCTGAGGCTTCACTGATTAGGAGACTTGGGGCAAGTCTCTTAACCTCTCCAGACATCGGTTTAGCAGCTGAGAAATAAAGTGTGGGTGGGGCGGGGGGGGGGGGGGTGGATTGTTGAACTTGTTTAGTTTTTAAGTGCCTTCCAATTCTTAGATTCTAAAATTCTCTGTCAGCCACATTTACTTTTCCTTTGAGAAGAAAATTCCTATGCTTGGAATTTCAATTGAGTCAATCAATGGCATTTATCACCCACTATAATTTAGGAGACTGTGCCATAAATTCCCCTCCCTAGGTATTTTTTATTTTATTTTTTTTTTGAGGAAGATTAGCCCTGCGCTAACTACTACCAATCCTCCTCTTTTTGCTGAGGAAGACTGGCCCCGAGCTAACATCTATGCCCATCTTCCTCTATTTTTATACGTGGGATGCCTACCACAGCATGGCTTTTGCCAAGTGGTGCCATGTTCGCACCCAGGATCCGAACCGGCGAACCCCGGGCCGCCAAGAAGCACAACGTGCAAATTTAACTGCTGTACCACTGGGCGGGCCCCTTTAATTATTATTTTTAATTGTGGCAAATACACATAGCATAAAATTATACCCTCTTAACCATTTTAAGTATACAGCTCAATAGTGTTAAATACATTCATCTTGTGCAGCCATCCATGTCCAGAACTCTTTTCATCTTGCAAAACTGAAACTCCGTGCCCAGTGAACAACTCCCCATTACCCTTTCCCCTGGCCCCTGACAACCACCATTCTACTTTCTGTCTCTATAAATTTGACTACTTTAGGTACCTCATAAAAGCAGAATTATACAGTATTTGTCTTTTGTGACTGGCTGATTTTACTTAGCGTAATGTCCTCAAGACTCATCCATGTTGTAGCACTATCAGAATTTCTTTCCTTTTAAAGGCTAAATAATATTCCATTGTACATATATATACACCATATTTTGGTTTTTTTATTCATCTGTTGATGGACAGTTGGGCTGCTTCTACCTTTTAGCTCTTGTGAATAATGCTACTATGAACATGGGTATATAAATATCTCTTAGACATCTTGCTTTCAATTCTTTGGGGCATATACACGAAAGTGGAATTGCTGGATAACATGGTAATTCTATTTTTTAATTTTTCAGAGAACCGCATTCTGTTTTCCATAGTGGTTTTACCATTTTACCCTCCCACCCCCAGTGCAAAAAGGTTCCAATTTCTCCATAGCCTTGCTAACGCTCATTATTTTCCTTTTTTCAAATATAGTAGCCATCGTAATAGGCGTGAGATGATAGCTGACTGTGGTTTTGATTTGCATTTCCCTAATGATTAGTGATATTAAGCATCTTTTCATGTATTGTTGGTCATTTGTGTGTCTTCCTTGGAGAAATTATTCAAGTTCTTTGTTTTTTAATCAGGCTGATTTTTGTTGCTGTTGAGATCTTTATATATTCTAGATATTGATTCAGCAGATACATGATCTGCAGATATTTCCTCCCATTCCATGAGTTGCCTTTGCACTCTGTTGACGCAAAGAAGTTTTAAATTTTGATGTAGTCAACTTATCTATTTTTTTCTTTTGTTGTCTGTGCTTTTGATGGCATATACAAGAAAAAAATTGCCAAATCCAAAGTCAGGAAGCTTTTCCCTCATGTTTTCTTTGAAGTTTTATAGTTTCAGCTCTTAGATTTAGTTCTTCGATGCATTTTGAATTAACTTTTGTATGTGGTATGGTAAAGGTTTAACTTCATTTTTTTGCACGTGGCTATCCAGTTTTCCCAATACCATTTGTTGAAGACTAGCTTCTCCCCTTTGAATGGTCTTGGCACCCTTTTTGAGTATGATTTGACCATATGTGAGAGTTTTGTGCTAAAAATTTTTGGGAGTGGCGGTACAGGAATGACGTAGTCTCCGACTTAAGGAAGCCTCAGTAGAGGCGACTACTCAGATTCAGTTTCAAGCAGCATTTGTTTAGTGCTGATTGTGTGTCCAGTGGGCACTTTGCCTCCTAAGCTTCCCATCCAACCAGTGAGGTAGGTAGGATGATCCCCTTTAACAAACGAGTAAATTCAATCCCCAGAAGAGCACGGTTATGGCTTATGCAGAGGCAGGGACAGAGTTAGGATCTGGAACCAGGGTTCCTAGTTCCACGTGTCCTGCTACTTCAAGTAAGATGGACCTCCGTGTTCTCGTCTCTAAAATTTCTCATCTCTAAAATATGGGCAGAAGTAAAATGAGATGGTCTCTATTGAGCACCCTTGCAGCCGTAAGATCCTATGCATTAAGGAGTCGCTAAAACCCAGGTGCCAAGGGCGAGGTTTAAACCTTAAACATTACCGCTCCGCAGACAACAGGAACCCTGAACACAACAGCCAGCCCTGAAGGCCGAAGTCCGAGGGCTGGAGCCCCGCCCCCCGGGCGGACCCCAAATCCTTACCCGGAACCTGGGCGCGGCTGGGCTGTGCGATTGGCGCGGGTAGGGGACGAGCAACAGAAAAATGCCTGAGACGACAGTCTCATTGAAATGCCCCCACGGTCTCTCTGGAGGGAGAGTTTACAATTCTAACAACGTCTCTAGAATTAGGTCCCTTGGCTCTCTCCTTTTTACTCTCCTCCCGCGGAGTTATTTCTTCCCCTTGGCCCCTTTATTGGATTTCCTCTTGGTACGCCCCCACCCTGACTTGGAGAGGAAAGACGGCCGCCGCGTGGGCACTGCGCATGCGAATCCCCGCCGCGGGGGTGGGTGTGTCGGGGGGGGGGGAGCAGGGACCCCGCCCCTTCGCGGCTCCTCGCGTGACGTCGTGGGGGGCGCCGGCCTCCGCCCTGCTCCGAACGGTGAGAGCGAGCGGCGGGCGGACTCGACGCCCCTAGACCGAGAAGGGATGATGCGGGTGTTGAGTTCCTGGAGGAACTCAGGGGCTTTGCGGGGGAGGGGAGGCCCAGGGGCTACACCAACTGCTGACCCTCAGGCTCTGCCCTTCTGCTTCTTGCTTTTTTCTCCTTTCCTGATGGGCCGGGACGGGAGGCAGGCCAGAGGCTGAGCATTTGTGACGCCTGCATTTCCCTGGAGCCCTCCTTCTCTCCCCACCCCATGTGTTTATCTCGCCTTCCAGTTCCTTTTTATCAGGCTGTGGCTTCTCGCGAGGGAATGCATTCCACCTGGAAGCAGGAGGCGGGTTTCAGACCTTGGCTGTATCACTTTTCTGTTAAAGTCCCCGAGCCTCAGTTTCCCCCACAGTATTTTTGTCTTGTCTCACCTGGTTTTGAAGATAAGTATGACACAGAAAGATAGAGAAGAAATGGACATTTGTTGAGTTCCTGCAAGGCCGAGTACTATGCAAACTGCTTTATCTGCCACACGTAGTCATTATAACTCCCATTTCACAGATTCTTAAGCTCACAAAGGTTAACTGATTTTTCTCACATAGCCAACGAGTGGCAGAGGAGAATTCAAATTGAGCAGTTCAGGTCCAAAGAAGAGTGCTGTCGGACACTTCCTTTGTCTGGGCTATTGGCTAGAAACCTTTCTCAGCCAAACCCTAACCCCAGAACAGCTGCTTCTTAAATTCCTCACCTTGAGAATTCTCATTTTTCGGTTCCTTTTGCGAGCGCAGCGTGCTCTGCTTCTGCTTCTACGTTGATTACTTCGAAATGAAATGCAGCAAACATTTATTGAGTAGTGCAGGGAGATGAAAACTTGGAGTCAGGAACCTTGGATTCTTGTCTTGGCTTTGCCACTGACTGGCTGTGTGGCTTTGAGGAAGTCCCTTGTCTTCTTGGTGTTTTAGCTTCCCTTTGAATAAAATGGGTAAGTGGTTTCTTGATGGTAGGCTCTTGTCCAGTTCTTCCTTCCTGTCCTCCAGCAGGCTCTCCGTGGAGGCCCAGACCCCTCTGCTCCCCATGGGCAGCTGCCAGGCAGGACACAACCTGCATCTCTGTCTGGCCCATCACCCACCTCTGGTCTGTGCCACTTTGATCCTGCTGCTGCTTGGCCTTTCTGGCCTGGGCCTTGGTGGCTTCCTCCTCACCCACAGGACTGGCCTGCGTAGCCCTGACATCCCTCAGGTGAGTACCCTCTTCATCCTTCCCACGCAGTCCTGCTTGTGCTACTAACTTCTCACCTTTCTCCCGTCTTCCTTTTGCACACAGGACTGGGTCTCTTTCTTGAGATCTTTTGGCCAGGTGACCCTGTGCCCCGTGAATGAGACAGTCACAGGGAAGTGGCGTGGGTCTCATATCGTGGGCTTGCTGACCACCTTGAACTTCGGAGATGATCCAGACAAGAACAAAACCCAGGCCTTCCAAGCCACGGTCCCTGGTAGTCAGATGGGATTGAAAGGTGAGATCAAGGAGGACCGTGGGGTTGGACATTAGAACACTCAGGCTGGCCCTGCCTCTGACCTCACTAACCTGATGACCTGGGCATATCCTTGGGCCTTGATCACTTCTGCTGTAATAAGGATTAGATACAGTGAACCTGAGGCCCACTGTGTAGGTTCTCTATAAATGTTTTCTCTCTCCCCTTCCAGCTCTGAGGTTCTTTGATTCCCTCCTTGAAGGTGTGATGAAATGGGCTAGATTTGACCTAATTGTCTTTCTCATCCTTCTTTATTTCTACGGCATTCCCCTCTTAAAGGCACCTTCTTTTTCCTCAAGGATATGAGAGAAGCATGTTCTGTTCAATTAAGCTAGTGTTGTGAGTGCCTGCTGCGTGCTTAGCACAGCTCTATGTGCCATGGAGGGTACAGAAAAAATTAGACATCACCCATTCCCAAAGAGCATGGAATCCTCAGGGAAAATGATAAGTGAAGGAGAGAGAGTCAATGGGTGCCATTAATTCCTGTGTGAGATTTGGCCTCAAGTTCCTTGTCTAAAGAATGGGGAGATGAAGAGGGAGAAGAGAAAGGTGGAATTCTCTGACTTCTAAGGTCTTTTCCTACACTATCCTTCTAAGATTCTCCTGTGAATTGCACATATGTATGTGTGTTGAGGGGGAGGTCTCTGTTTGTCCAAGTGTACATGTGTGATCGAAGAATGAGAATAAAGGAATGTGTCTGATATATACAGACTTGGGACAATTTTTCTTGTTCTTTTTCTTTAAAAAGATATGTAAAACCTTTATTGAGATCACATACCATAAAATTCACCCATTTAAAATGTACAGTTAAATGGCTTTTTGTATAGTCACAAAACTGTGCAACCGTCGCCACGATCAATTTTAGAACATTTTCATTACCTCAGAAAGAAATCCTGTAGCCATTAAAAGTCACTTCCTTTTTCCTCCTAACCTCCCAGCCCTAGCCAATCACCAATCTACTATCTTTTTCTGTAGATTTGCCTATTCTGGACATTTCATATAATATGTGGTGTTATGTGACTAGCTTCTTTCAATTAGCATAATGTTTTCAAGGTTCATCCATGTTGTAGCTCATATCAGTACTTCATTTCTTTTTTTTTTTAAATTTATTTATTTTTATTTTTTTCCTTTTTCTCCCCAAAGCCCCCCGGTACATAGTTGTATATTCTTTGTTGTGGGTCCTTCTAGTTGTGGCATGCGGGACGCTGCCTCAGCGTGGTTTGATGAGCAGTGCCATGTCCGCTCCCAGGATTTGAACCAACGAAACACTGGGCCACCTGCTGCGGAGTGTGTGAGCTTAACCACTTGGCCAGGGGCCAGCCCCATTTCATTTCTTTTTATTGATACATAGCATTCATTGTATGAATAGTCCACATTTTATTTATCCATTCATCAGTTAATTCACATTTGGATTGTTTCCACTTTTTGGCTATTATGAATGATGCTGCTATGAACAATTGCATACAAATTTTTGTGTGATCATATGTTTTCATTTCTCTTGGGTGTATACCTACAAGTGGAATTGCTGGATCATATTGTAACTCCATGTTCAATCTTTTGAGGAGCTGCCAGATTGTTTTCCAAAGTGGCTGTACCATTTTATGGTCCCACCAGCAGTGTATGAAGGTCCAGTTTCTCCACATCCTCATCAACACTTGTGATTATCTGTTTTTTTATTATGGCTGTCCTAGTCGGGGTGAAGTAGTATCTCACTGTGGTTCTGATTTGCATTTTCCTGATGCCTAATGATATTGAGCATTTTTTTCATGTGCTTATTGGCCATTTGTATATCTTCTTTGGAGAAATGTATGTTTAGAGTCTTTGCTTATTTTTAAAATTGGGTAATTTGTCTTTTTTGAGTTGTAAGAGTTCTTTATATTTTCTAGATACAAGCCTCTTATCTGATGTATGGTTTTCAAATATTTTTTCCCATTCTCTGGGTAGTCTTTTCACTTTGTTGATGTTATTCTTTGAAGGAAAAAAGTTTTTAATTTTGATGGAGTTCAATTTATGTATTTTTTATTTTGTTGCGTGTGCTTTTAGTGTCACATCTAAGAAGACTTTGCATAACCCAAGGTCACTAAGATTTAATCCTATATTTTCTTCTAAGTATTTTATAGTTTTAGTTCTTACATTTAGGTCTATGATCCATTTTGAGTTAATTTTTGTGTATAGTGTGAGGATGGGGTCCAACTTCATTCTAGCAGGTGGCTAGCAAGTTTTGTTGAAGAGACTGTTTTGCTGGTGGCTAGTACGTTTTGTTAAAAAGACTATTCTTTCCACATTGAATAATCTTGGCACCCTTATTGAAAATCAATTGACCATGGACATACGAGTTTATTTCTGGACTCTCAGTTGTATTTCATTGATCTGTGTCTCTATCCTTATGTAGTACAACACTGTTTTGATTACTGTAGCTTTGTATTAAGTTTTGAAATCAGAAAATGTGAGTCCTCCAACTTGGTCTTCTTTTTAAGATTGTTTTGGCCATTCTGGACTTCTTGAATTTTCATATGGATTTTAGGATCAGCTTATCAGTTTCTGTTTCTGCAAAGAAGCCCTATTCATTTTATGGTTAGAAACAAAGTAATATCATCAAAGATTATTTTGGACAAAAATAAAAAATAATCACCTATGATTGCATCAGCTAAGCAATAATTATTGAGCACCTACTACGTACCAAGCACGAGGAATGCAGAGATTTGTAAGTCGTGGGCCCTCACCTCAAGTTGCTCACAGTCTGGCCAGAATACAGATGTGAACAGAAGTAAATACCTTTCAGTGTGTGAAGTAGAACACAAGATACACGGGGAGTACTCAGAAGTCTGTCGAGCAGGGATGGTGAAGACAGGCTTTTCCAAGGATACAGTGCCTGAGCTGAGGCTTGAGGGAGGTTTAGGAGTATGCCCTTCCAGCCAGAGAGAAGAGCATATGCAAAGGCATGCAGACGGGGATCATGACGGCATGGTTAGGAGCTTCAAGGGACTCAGTTTGACTGCTGCAGGGGAAGAGTATTGAATGAGTGGCAGGAGATGGGCCTGAAGAAGCAAGCAGAATCCCAGGGAGGGTGTTGTGTGTCAAGCCAAGGTAGTCGGACTTTATCCAATACATTGAGCAAACTCAAAGATTTTAATCAGGAAAACAGTAGGATTTTGTTATTGTTGTTGTTCTTTTGAAAAGATCACACTCTGTTGGCTGACTGCCTGGGAGGAATGTGTCCAGATGCAGGAAAACCAGTTAGGAGGTGGTTGCAATAAAAAGATGATGAGAAAAACTGAGCTAAGATAGTGCTGTGAAAGAAGGGGACTAATTTGAGAGAGATGTTAGAAGTGAGGGATTGACAGGACTTGGTGACCGATTTGATTTGGGGAACATAGAAGAAAGGGGAGTTCTCCTACAGAGTTTTGCATGTACATTTCTCAGCTGTAACTATGATGTATATACTGGTTTGTAGATCTCCTTTTTCACTTATGATATGTGTTTTTTGGTATTACTGCATGATCTGGACGTTATTATTTTAATGGATGTAAAGTGATCCATTAAGTGGTTAGGCCATCATTTGTTAACATTTTCCCTTTTGTTAAACATCTCTATTGTTTTGTATTTGTTATGAAATTACAGTAAACATCTTGGTATACTTTGCATTTTTCTTTTGAATCCTTTCCTTAGGATTAGTTTCTCCAAGTAGTATTACTGAGTCAAAAGGTATGGCCCTTCCTTTAATAGACAAATTCATTTCGTTGTGGATTCAGATCACACAGAAGTATACAAAGCAAATGTAAAGATCCTTCTTTACCTCCCCTGCAGAATCCACTTTGGTGGGCATCTTCTCAGTCCCTCTCTGTACCCATTTAAAATTGTGACAGATACAACCAAATTGTCTTCTGAAAGATATCACCAGTTGACAGTGCCCATTTTCCCACATCTTCAGCAACTCTTATTATTATCAATCTTTTTTATTTTTACCAACTTAATGGGCAAAGGAATACCTGATTGTTTTAATTTACTTTCTCCTGATTGCCTGTGAGGTTGAACATCTTCTTAGAGGGTTTTTGGCCATTTTCATGTCTTCTGTGAATTTCCCGTTCTTATCCTTTGCTCGTGTTTCTTTTAAGTTATTTGTCTTTATCTTCTTGATTTTTCAAAGATTCTTATACATTCTGAATTGTAAACCTTTTTGCCAATTGAATATAAGTATTTTCAACCACTCTGTTCACTGTTTTTTTTTTCTTTTTTTTTTAAAGATTGGCACCCGGGCTAACAACTGTTGCCAATCTTTTTTTTTTTTTCCTGCTTTATCTCCCCAAACCCCCCTGTACACAGTTGTATATCTTAGTTGCAGGTCCTTCTAGTTGTGAGGTGTGGGACACCACCTCAACGTGGCCTGATGAGCGGTGCCATGTCTGCGCCCAGGATCCGAACCCTGGGCCGCTGCAGCGGAGGAGCGTGCGAACTTAACCACTCGGCCACGGAGCCAGCCCCTGTTAACTGTTTTTTTAACTTATCTTTCATTGTGTAGAAGCCTTTAATTTTTATGAGGTTAAGTTTATTGCTCATGTCCTTTTACTTAGGCTTTTAGGTTTTGTGTCTTTTTTAGGAAGGCCTTCCCCACGTTAAAATTAGAGAATATTCTTCTGTATTTTCTTTGGTTTTTGTTTTGCTTTATTTGGTTTATTTGTATAGGTCTTTAATACACCTGGACTTTATTTTATAGTGTGAGATACATCTAACTTTTTTTTTCCAAATGGAAGTTGTCCCGAGGCCATTGACTGAATAGGCCATCCTTTCCTCACTAATTTGAAAGGAGGTGTGAACCTTTTAATGGATTTTGGTACCTAGTGGGAAACTGCTCTTAAAAAGGGTGAACCAGTTTATACAAACTGATATCAGCACTGCAACTTTGCAAGTATTGGTATGCTTGTTTTATTGATTGTAAGCTAACTTAAATTAATTTTTGTTTATATTGATACACAGTTATTTTCATTTCTCAATGATGTAAATAATGGTATATAGAGTACTTTATTGAATAGAGTCAATGCCAAAACACCTGGTACTTTAGGAAGCCTTAGAAATGAATAGAAGTCTGAAGATGGGTCGCTCCCATCCCACCCTTCATTTTCTTCCATCTCCTCTCCTGTGCTTCTCATAGGGTCTTCTGCAGGAGAGCTAGTCCTCATTACAGCCAGGGTGACCACAGAAAGGACACCAGGAACCTGCCTGTATTTTAGTGCTGCTCCAGGAATCCTGCCCTCCAGCCAGCCACCCATATCCTGCTTGGAGGAGGGAGCAGGAAATGCCACCCTGAGCCCTAGGATGGCTGAAGAGTGTGTCAGGGTCTGGAGCCACGAAGGCCTTGTACTCACCAAGCTGCTCACCTCGGTAAGAGTCTCAGGTTGTTGGGGTTTCATGGGCTGCCAAGCCAAATGTTGTATCTTGAAAGCTTCTGGAGGCAGTTTTACCTACTAGATAAAGCACAGGCTTTATAATCCTGCCTCCGAGGCTGTGTGACCTTGAACAAGTATCTGAGCCTCTCTGAGCCTCAGCTTCCTCATCTGTAACACGATACTCTCTCCTAATTCCAACAATTAAGGATAAATGAGAATGTAAAGTGCCCAGTACATTGCCTGTACATAATAGAGATTTGATAAATGACAGCTATTACTATTAACTATTGTCTTTAAATACAATAAAATTTGATCTCCACTTCAGAGGCATTCAGATGCTGTAATAGGAGGCAGAATGGGCTAATTGCTGTCATAGAGGTGCGAGCAAAGTGTTATTCAAACACAGAGTAAGGAGCAATTAACCCTAGCCAATATTTATGGAAAGTGCTTCACAGAGAGGGTGGCATTTAAGAAAGGGAATTGTATACAGTAGTTTATAATGTACAGAGTACTTTCAGGTTCTTTATCTCATTTGATTTTAAAATACTCTTTTGAGGTGACCACTATTATCCCATTTTACAGATGAGGAAACAGACTTAGATGGGGAGGGTGGGTGGGAGTGATGGCCCAAGGTCACACAACTGATTAAGTGGCAGTTTCAGGATAGCAGCCTATGCCTTCTGACTCCCAAGTCCCAGCCTTGTTCTGCCCTGTCATCCTTGGAAAATGAGGAAGATTTGGGCAGAGAATGCAGTAGAGGAGGTTCAGGAGAGGAGAAATACAGTCCAGGAAAAGGGACCAGCATAAGGACAGGCCTAGAGATTGAAAAGTATTCAGCCTTTGGGAACACTCCATGATGAGGGGCTTAGGAATGACTTAGAGGAAGAGTGAAGATTGATGCAAGGGCACCGTGGTGCCAGGCTAAGATGCTACAACTTGACACTCAGGCCATGGGGGTCACTGGTGCAGAGTGCAAGAGAATGGCTGAGTGGAGGAGACCAGTTCGGAGGCTCCTGCATGCTCTTCCCTCACATTTGCAAAGACCCTGGTGAAGAGCATCACCTGGGAGCTTGGAAGCAGAGATGATCCAGGTTTCCAGAACTGGTCCTGCTTGCACATCTTTAAAATGTGGGTAATAGTGAATTGTCCTAGCTCATGGCGTCATCATGGGGGTTCAGTTCAATGGTTGGGCAAGAAAGCAGTTTGTAGACCATCAAGACAATTAGCTTGTATAGAAATAACATTTTCCCTTTAGTTGCCTCCTGGATATGGACAGCATTCTCCCCCATGGAGGCTTCTCTCTATAGTCCTTGGGAGTAAGATGTCTTCCCAAGGGAAAATTCTCCACTCTCTTTTTCTCTCATTCATTCCTCCTTCCCTCCCTATGTCCACCCCTAGGAGGAGCTGGCTCTGTGTGGCTCCAGGCTGCTGGTTTTGGGCTCATTCCTGCTTCTCTTCTGTGGCCTTCTCTGCTGTCTCACTGCTATGTGCTTCCATCCCCGCCGGGAGTCCCACTGGTCTAGAACCCGGCTCTGAGGGCACTGGCATAGTTCCTGTCTTGTTCTCAGGTAAGGTTGTTTGCCCTAGTCCTATGGGAGTAGGTGTTGGAGTGGGGATGGCAATTGTAACTGAGATAGTCATTCCTAAATAATATGGTTTGGTTTTACTTATTTTTGAACTTTATATAGATGGAATCATACATATTCTTTTATGACTGACTTCTTTTGGCAAACATTCTGATTTTAAGATTCATCCATAGCTGTAGTTCACATTCAGGCTTTTTGGCAACAATGGTGAGTTGTTCAAATTTGATGATGCATCCTGGATGTGAATCATGTTTGTCTTGCTTTTTTCCTGAAATTCTGATACTGAGAATTACAAAATTCTGATTTTGTAAAATTCATCTTGAACAGCTCAAAAGAATTGATTGATGATGCCCATTTACTAGGCATATGCTGTGTGTCCAACACTTTACATGCACCTTCTCTTTTCCATTAGCCATTGTTGCATTTAGAAAAAGTTGATTCTGCTAACAGGATCTTTGGAGAGACACAGCCTACAAAGGTAGCAGTGGGTGGGGGACATATTGGCTAACAATTTCGTGTGTCAACTCATTGAGGAAAAAAAATATCTCTAAAAAATTCTCACCCTGTCAGGTAGGTCTCATATAATTTGAGAGTCATATATTGTGCACCCTGCTCTTAAGGTGTTCTTAGCTTCAGCTGGCTGCTGTGCCCTAGGAACTAACTGTGAGAGAAGTGGAAACAGCCCAGGCCCAGGGAAGGGCCTCTGGCCGGAGGAACTAGACGCTCAAGATCAACTTTGCTTATTTTGCTTAGGGCTAGACATGACTGCTCCAACCACTTACTTGGGACAGGAAACTGCTCAGCCTTTCTCAGATCTGAGCAGACTGGGAAAGGAGTGCCTTCTGGCCCCAGCAGATCCTGGGGTCCTGAATCGTGATAAGTGCCTGTGCCTGTGTCTAGTTGTAACTTCCTCTGCTCCTTCCTCAGTTTCTGCAGCCATCCCAGAGCTTCCCCTAAGGGCCCTCTGACCTGCCCTCTTTTTTAATTTTCTTTTTCTCCAGGTGTGAATCAACTTCTTGGGCCTTGGTCCTGAGTTGGAAGAGATGTTACAAAAAGTGGAAAGCTGGAATGTGGTGGAAAATAAAAGGCTTTTTTGCCCAACGTTGCCCAGGGTGTTTACTGGGGATTGGATTGAGGGAGAAATTTTAGGGTAGACCGGCTCAGGAGGATTGCGGGACTTTTCCTTGTTGACTCTTTAGTTTGAGATACAAGTTAGCATAGTGCTTGGGTTACTGCAGCTCTTCCCACGGTTGTGACTTGGCTTTGGAAAAATCCTGGTTTTGATCCTAGCTCCGCCACTTTATGTCTTATTTTCTTCTATGAAATAAAATAGATAATTCCAGCTAGCTGGGAGAGTCAGGTGGATATGGTCATGGGAATGCTGTGACATAAATGCAGTGTCATGCAAGTGCGAATGGCCTCAGTTTCCTGAAGGGATTTGACAGATGGGGTTTTCCCAGCAAAGATTCCTCGAACTTGAGAGCCCACATCCCGGTTGGACGGTCACTAACCAAAGCAGTCCATTTTCCCGCCTTTTCTGCGCCCAGCGGCAGCCTTCCCTTACCCCTCCCAACCTCTACACTGCACGCAGGCGCAGATCACGGCTTCTTTTTTCCTTCCCCGGCGCCCCCTCAAAGCTTCCCTTAGCAACAAGCTCGGGCTTAGCCCTTAAGGCGGGGCGAGCGCATGCGCCGCGGCCCTCGCCACCGCCAGTTGGACAGCACGCTGGGCTCCTCCCTCCAGCTGAGCCTTTCTCCCCTCCTCCTCCCACCCAGGGTCCGCGTGGCGGGGCGCGCGCGCACTCTGGCTCGTTGGCTGCCCGTCTCCCATGCCGCAGCAGTAAGGAGGGAGGGGCGGGGCTGTTTCCTTTGGGGCCCCGCCCCCTCTGCCCGGGCGTACCTACCGCGCCTGCGCCCTCCCGCCCGGTCTCCATCTTGGAATTGGGAGGAAGAGGGAGAGGGAGACTGGGACGAGACCGGGCTGTGGTGCGGAGAGAGGCTGAGACTGAAGAGAGGGAGAGAGGGCGCGGGGACCGCCCATAGCCATAATCTTTCTGCTACCCTCAGGAGAGAAAAGGGGAAAGGGAGGAGGCCTGCGCGGGAGTGGGGGCTGTCACCGTCGGACCCTGGCGTGAGAGGGGCCGTGCGGCCGAACGTCCCCGGGGTGGGCCCCCTGTCGGTGGCCGAAGACCTGGGTCTCAGGCCCTTCCGTCCCGAATTTCCGGGCTTGACCTCTCGCTTCTCAAATATCCGGGTAGCAACCCCTCAGATTCCAGATATCCCGGACTTGGGTCCCAACCTCTCTAAACCTGGGGCTCTGTTTCATAGGATCTCGAATACCTGGGGTTCAGGCCCCTGCGTGCACCGGTATCCGGGGTTCATTCCCCACGCGTTCAAATACCAGATTCTGCCTCCCTCCGTTCAAATATCTGGGGTTCAGACCCCACAATCAGAAATCCGGGATTCAGCAACTATCGCCCTCGAGGAGGAGGAGGACTGGACCGCGAGGTCAGATCAGGTTGTCACCCCCTCCCCTCCAGGGGAGGCTTCCCGGGCCCGCCCCTCAGGAGGGGCGAAAGCCGAGGAAGAGGTGGCAAGGGGAAAGGTCTCCTTGCCCCTCTCCCTGCTTGGCAGAGCCGCTGGAGGACCCCAGGAGGAGGCGGAGGCGCTGGGGCATCATAGTGACCCCTACCAGGTGAGACACGGGGTACAGGGGCGCGGTTCCCTGTGTCTAGCGTTGAGAAGAAAGGGTACCCCTTTCTGAGAAGCTGGGCCTGGGTGGGCCCTCTCCTCAGGACGGGGGAGCCCAGCTGGACCAGTGGTCAGCCTCTGGCTAGCCTTGCCTTCTGGGGCCACCCTGTTCCCCTTCCTCTTCCCTTCATTATGTCTGGTTGATGGGGGACCTCAGGTGACAGGGTCTCTTATGTCACCGAGGGTCACGCCCTAGGGTGCTTGAGCTAATCAGATGGGTTTGCACCCTTCTGGTCTTCTCCGTGTTCACTTTGTCCCTCACAGCTACCTCTTCTCCAGGCTTATACCCCTTTTTCCTTATTGCTCTGGGTGTTGATTCCCATGCTTCTGATCCCCATGGTGCGTCTGCTTGCTTATCTGTTTTTTAGGCATGGTCTGTTGGGTTTCTTGTCCATGCTAGCAAGTGTGTGTGTGCGTTTGTATTTAGGGGTGCCTGGCAATATTTTCCCCCAGCTATAGTTGCCTTCCAACCTCTTGCTGTGATGGTATAAATAATCTTCTCCATTTGTCAAGCAATCTATCATTTACAAAGTGCTTTACATCCATTCTTTCATGTGACCTCCCATTCCTCTTGTTGGGGGCTCTTTTATTTCCATCTTTCCATTTTACAGTTGAGGATATTGAGGCCCAGAGAGGCTGCCCGAGGTCACACAGTGGCAGAATCAGGATTTGAACCCAGGTCCTCAATCAAGTCTTGCCCCTACTCCAGACCTGTCTCTTGCCATCTGTTTTCTTCTGTGCCTGGGCTTGGCCAGGGGTCCAGAGGAGAGTGAGTTGGGGTGAGATTTAAGAATGACAGGGACAAGAGCTTCCTTTTTAGGAGGGCTGTGCTCAGAAGCTTTTCCTGATGGGAGGCTCTGGCTCCTGCCTTCTGCCTCATGGATTTTGCTTTCTGCTGTGGCCTTCATCTTTACCCTTATCCCAGTCTTTGACCTGGGTTCCAAGAGAGCTATCTCTCCTCAAAAATGATAGCCATAGTAGTGTCTCTTAACTGTTAAAGCCCAGCTGCTGAGAGGTAGGACGATCCCCAAAGTATTAAAGCCTTGTTGTGGTGACCCTGGAGGCAGGGAAGGAAAAATCCACATGCTGAGTGTCTGCATAGTGTTCTAAGTATGCGATGTCATTAAAAATCTCAACAGCCACATGCTGTAATCCATTTTACCAAAGAGAACACCAAGTATAGGGAACTTAGTCAAAGCCCTGTTGCTGTACATTACAGATGAAATGTACTGGTAGTGTAGCTTAGGGACAGACTTGGGTTTCCTCATCTGCAGAATGGAGATAACACTGTCTGTTTTAGAAGGTGGTTGTGATTTAGCACAGACATTGGTAGTCGGTCAAATGTTCGTTGATATTTGAGGAAGAGGCCCCATGTGATGTTTTGCTGGCATCCCTTACATGTGACCTGGGGTCCTGTGCTGGCGTTCTTGGCTGGGTGGTGGTAAAGAGGTCAGGAAAATTCCTTTGGCAAGTTGTGAGTACCTGCCTTTGTGTGTGGGTGTGTGGTGAGGGTGAGGAGTGCTTGGCAGGGTTGCTGGCGGGAGAGGAGAAAGGGGCCTGCTTTGAGTAGCCTGGGAGCTGCTGAGGACTGGGCTGAGGGCAATCAATCAATCTCCCAGGCTATTCTGAGCCCTCTGCACCCTGGGGGCCCACTGGAGAGGAGGGCTTGCTCCTTGCCCTCCAGCTTCCAGTTGGGCTGAGGAGACAAAATTAACAACATAACAGGAAACAAGGCACGACAGAATATAATTACATGCTAAATTGTTAGGTGCTTTTAAGGAACTAGAACTCTGCCCTGGGAGTCCAGCTCTGCTGAAGCTCCCTTTGTGCCTAAGTTTCAGCAAGTGCTTAGCCAGGAGCCTGGCTTGGGATCCTCTTGGGGGTCTTGGCTCTGATGTCCTGCAGGAGCTTTCTCTGGGTGTTTGGCTGAGTGCTCCTAGGAGCTCTCTCCAAGGGATGGAGTGATCAGGAGAGGCTTACTGCAGGAAGGGGCTGAACTTGGGGTGAGTTGCTGAGAGAGTTATGAGAAAGTCCTGTTCTCTGACTGGAGAAGTTCTTCCTTTCTATGCCTCAGTGACCTCATCTGTGAAGTGATGATCATGACCCTGCCCTGCTTGTTTCATATGCTGTTCTGAAACACAGTGGTGGAGGACCAGCTATGAGCAAGTCACTTAACCTTTCTGAGCCTGTTTCCTCATTTGCAAAGTGGGGGTAATAGTAATACCTCATAAGGTTGTGGTGAGGATTGAATGAGATAATACCTGTAAGGTGCTCACTATACATGCTCAATAAATGCTATTTGTACGCTGCAAATGTCTTGTACCTGTATATGATGTGTACGTGATTGGATTGGACAAGTAAGGCAGCCCAGATCACAGAGATGCCCCCAAAGCCAGGTGCCATTTCTATCCTTGTCCTTCCCATTCTAGATCTCCTCCCTGCCACAGTGTCCCTAATCCTTTTTCAGAGTGAGTCTTCTGGCCCCTCTGGACCAGTACCCGCTTCTAACAATGGCCGGATTTCCACTGCCTCCGGCCTGACCGTTTCCTGCTTTCTTTCAGGGTGTGAGAGTTGGGGGGGGGGGTGGTGCCTCCGTGCCAAGGGGAGCAGGAAGGTGCCTGGAAATGTTTGGGGTATGGGACTTGTGGGACAGGACGCTTGGGGATCTGGGGTTCTGGCTGGGAGGCAAAATCTTTGGAGGGGAGAAGTAGTGGTTGTTAGGAAATGGAACTTGTTGAGGGCTGAGGAAGGTGGTGAAGATGCTTAGCTCTCAGTCTTCCTAGCAGTTTTAGGGACTCAAGGGACCCGGCTCCTGTGCTCTGGTTGCCAGGGCAACTTTATTTTTTTGGAGCTTTGTAGTGGTTCCTAATTTCCCCCTGCCCTTCCTCAGCAGTGCTTCCCTCTCGTTGGGAAACTAGAGGAGAAGGCAGAAACTTGAGGGGCCCGTTTCTCTCTCTGAAGTCCCCATCCTTGCTCTCAGGGTCCCATTTCTGTTCTCTAGGTCAGGCCCCACTCTCAGGGCCCCCAGGGGCCACCATGCCAGCTGGGGGCCGGGCCGGGAGCCTGAAGGACCCTGATGTGGCTGAGCTCTTCTTCAAGGATGACCCCGAAAAGCTCTTCTCTGACCTCCGTGAAATTGGCCATGGCAGCTTTGGAGCCGTGTACTTTGTGAGTTGGGGCTTGGGAGAGTAGGGTAGGGCTGGTGATTATATTCTTCCCCATGTGGACTTCCAAAAAGCCCTCTACACTACTCCACCACTAAAGTCTTTCCTGCCTTGTCCTACTGGGCCAGCAAGTCTTACTGCTGCTCAATTCTCGCTGGAGACCTTCACCATCTTCTGGTCTGGTTCT